CTGAATCTCTCCTGTCCTGCTGTATCCCATAGCTGAAGCTTTATTCTGGTCCCATCTGACACTTCAATCAATCTTGCAAAGAAGTCCACTCCAACAGTTGGATCTGATATCTGTAAGAAAGGAAAAAGTCAAAGGGGACACAAGAAATGACAAATGCTATTTTATGTGTGTAGAAGTGGGTGAAAATGAAAAATTAATTTTCTTTATACAAAGTGCTATCATAGAGAAGCCATCAAAATATGTTAAATATGGAAAAATTAATTTTGATAGGATAAAAACAATTAACCCAATGCCAACAGGAATGATGTGTACGAACATGCTATGCCCACTGTGAGTTACTTGTTAGACTGTTTTTACATAGATGGCTACACTTGTACTAAGTCACCAATGAGCCAGTTACAAGTATTGCCTGTCTCGCTCGTTTACTGTTTTCTTTGATTTACAAAAATATTTTACGCTTCTTATTTTGCTGTTACTAACATTTATAACATAGTAATTATGTTTATAATAAAAATAATACCATTGATATTCATAGCACTAGTAATAAATATGTTTTTCCCGTCAATTCAAATCATGTAAGGTCACAAGGTCAACTAATTGACTCCTTTGTGGCTAAGCACTAGCAGAGCCATCTATATGCAGAGACATTTCATAAAAAATATAAAAAATGTGCACAGCATTTTCCTCATTTTTTATGCATTTTCCCAGCAGCATAGGGTTAATGGCCATCCACAACAAATGTTTTCATTAAATATACATATATGCTTCCTGTATTATGACAACGGATATTGTCAATAATTATTTCTTTGTCCTATTATTCCCTTAGCCCTGAGTACAAACTACTTCGGGTTTTCATTCCTACTTCTGCCACCTCCTGATCACCTGCCATGTGTTCCAGGAAAATGGACAAAGTACTTACACGACTATTTTTTTTAGAAATTATTTCTTCTTTGATTCTTTGCAACTATAATACATGTATCAAAGATACATATCCACAATTTTCCCTCATATGTCACATCCACATTGATGGCTTCACAAGTACTTAGTCACCAAGGAGTCAAGTACTATTAACCCATTGCCACCGGGGATGGCATGAACGTACATGCCATGCCCACTGTGAGTCGACTTGTTTGATTGTTTTTTACACATAGATGGCTACACTTGTACTGAGTCACCAATGAGCCAATTATGAGTACTGCCTGTTTCGCCCGTTCACCCTTTTCATCAATTTATGAAAATATTTAACGTTATCCTAATTTGCTGTTAAAGATAACACCATCTATATTTATAGCACTAGTAAGAATACTTTTTTCCTGTCAATTCAAGGAAAGATGAAATCAGGACTAGCAGAGCCATCTTTGTACAAAGATATTTCAGAAAAAGATAAATAATGAGTACAGTATTTTCCCCATTTTTTGTTAATTTTCCCCGGCGGCAATGGGTTAATCTCTCTCACTTGCTTACTCTTTTCAGGTGAGGTCACAAAGGCTTCTAATTGACTCTTTGGTGGCTGAGTGCTTGGTGAGCCATCTAAGTGTAGAGACATTTTACAAAATAAAACTAATATGAACAACATATTTTCTTGGCAGCATTCAGTTAACCTGTAGGATCTGGGTGACATGGGAGTCTTGTCATGGAAAAATTTGTCGGAGGGTCAGGTGATGGAAAAGTCTTGCAAAGAAAAAAAATTGGCAGAGGGGTGGGTGATGGGAATGCCTTGTCATGAAAAATTGTTGCCGAGTGTTGGGTGATAGGGATGTCTCATCTTAAGTACACCAAACACTTGCAGAGCAATTGACTTAGTATGCCTTCAGGTAAGGGTTCATTTCCCTTACCAGCCATCAACCATACCTGGGTGATGGCCAATAATACAGAAATATTAAGTTGTTTAGACATGTAGCTACAATCTAAATAAGCCTATGATGATTTGTCTGTACTGAACATTGAGCTAAATTTTATTCCAGATGTCATTTATTAAAAAATTCTTTATACCAATCTCCTATGTCACACTTCTACTAGCATTTATCAGAAGTAATCTATCAATGTATCTGGGAGGATGTGTGCAAGCTATACAGAAATACTGACATGCAGTATAAATTGACTTTATATATGTAAGAATCAGTTTTGAAATGCATAAATGACATGTATAAATGACATGTGATGGTCATATTGATCATCTGCCATAATAGATTTTGAAAAAAATGATAATAGTATATAGAGATAAACTCCACTTCTGATTACTGTAGGAATAAATTCAGTGGGTAATAAATTAGTGGGACTCTAGAAGAGTTTAGGCAATGAAGAAGTGTCTCACTCTCCTGTAGTATTTCATTACATGAAATTTATAAAAGAAAACCACACTTGTTTTCAAAAAAGTGTTTTTTTGTCTCATACAGGTTGTGCCCTATCCAAATCCACTTGAAGCTTGTAGTGATATGTGATAAAGAACATAGTATTTGTAGTCCAAACATTTAGTAGTGCAGTATCAAGTAAGTGGGCTGACTTTCACACTCTCAGCACACTCCACTATATATGTTACGGCAAAACAGAACTTAGGACTGTTTTGTTATTTGATGGTAAATTGTCTGTGACATCTGTCAGTCCTACTTTGCCAAAAAATAATTTGTTCATATTGTTGACTTAAACTGGTGCACCATCAGGTGTGGAGTCCACAGCTATTTCTATACATTTTAATTATTGACTTTAATATCAGAACAGTGATGATATTTGCCCAACAGCTAAGGACAGCATGGATTATAACAGGGATACCACAGGGTCAAGACTGAGGAAATACTAATCACAATATTTGACACTATAATGCAAATCATTAGTTATATAGGGAGGTCACCTTAAGGCTCCAAGAGGGTTGTGACTCTTGATTCTATGTGTGTGCCAATTAATGTGGGTTTTCACTTTAACAGCTGTATAATGGTATCTTTGTGCACTAGGTGAGAACTGCTTTCCTATGAAGTGATTGAGTGCTGCTTTCATAAAAGTGATCAGAAAATTATTTTTGCAATGTCCATGGAAATATTACCACATTTATGATCTGGTCAAGGAACTTACTTCTCAGTGAGTAATGTACTGATAAATACTGTGAATTCATAATCAAATAGGGATTTGCCCCTTGGCTAAGCCCCACCTCATTTAACCATTTAGCTTATCTTCTTTTTTTATTCTTCTTTTCTGATTTGATTGTTATTATTCCTCTTTTTAAATAAAAACTATTCCAAACTCTAGGTCAAGCTTTTTCTTTTTTAATTATATGTGCTTTTCATTAATTCGCATTTGCTATTAGGAATTCCAAATCTAGACTGACAGCTGTAGTTAAATAGGTTCACATCTGAGGCCATCATATAAAATTTCCAAACTGAGGATAAGGGTAAGGAAATTTTTTCTAAGACCAATGTGCTAGCTCTTCAGGTAAAAATACAATGTTTTGCAGATGCACTGTGATTCTGAATGGTACATGAACATACATAGCCAACCATATCAGTAAAACAACCTTGATAATTGGGAAGGCATGAAGTACATCAGGGAAATTACAGGCTGAAACAGAATTAATGCAAAATCAAAAATATGTAATAACACAGGAGATAGAATAAACATGGCAATTTCATTGCAATTCTAAAAGCTCTGGGCACTTTATGAACTCAAGACAGCATGCTATGATGGATACAAATGTCTATTCCAGTAAATTTCTACAGCACGGACCCACTCTCCAAAGATAAAGTCCCAAACTCCAAGTCACATCTTTTCAACTATTAAAGTTGTTGTGACTGAGTAGTGCCCAAAGATGGGAGGGTTGATGAGGGCCTATGGTCTCCAACACCTCCTAGGAAACATTGCCTTCTCCTCAGTCTGCACAGCAAGATAGAGCTGAAACCTGGGAGCACCAAGTAAATTTAGACTGTGAACGGTCCCTTCCATGACCTTTTTCCTTCAATTATGGCATTACATTCTTGTACTGAAGACTGTAACTATTTGTCCTCTCCAAGAATACCATATCTAATTTGCCCTAGCCTTGTGCAAAATAACAGTTTATTCCATCTGTATGACCACTATATAATCTTAAAAGTGGATACACTAATGTAAATAAAAAATTTCTTGCTGGTGATCCTCAAGAAATGCAGGTATATCAGGCTGTTAAAAATTCTGGTTGTGAAAAGGAACATAAGCAAAAAGATACTGTGAGGAGCTGAATATCTGAATTCCTTTTTTTTATCATTAATATCAATGAAAACATAAAATGCTGGTAATTCTAGCTAAAATGGAATTTTTACTATTCCCTCTTTTTCTATCTGCTACAATCTTGGGGGAATACTTTTTGGGTCAGCAAGGGATACACAGACGTCCCAAAACCATATCATCGTGAGAATTTCTACTTCCTCCCGATTGATGAATTTCTTATCCTACTGCTTCATCTATTACAATATTCAGTACACATAAAAATACATAATGGAAGTTAAAGGGTAATGGCATACTTAGGTTGTTGGGAAGGTAACGAACCTCTGATTTCCATTGGGTATATTCAGCTGGAACAGTTATTGCACTTCATACAATTTGGAATTATTCCTGATAATTGTTCCCTTTTACTGGAATATTATGAAAGAATTCAGGAATACAAGCAGCACTACAAATAAATTTGGCTTCTGAAAGCTGTATCTAATGCTATGTCAATAGAACTGTCATATTTACCAAGAGATGGTTTTGCATACCTAACATAAACATGTACATAAAAATATATGAAAAATATATAATGTATGGTATGTACATGGATTATATATCTAATAAATAGTTCAGTATATGGTGATGAAAACTGAAACAAAAAAATATGTTAAAAGTACAATGCCTTTCCTTAACCCCAATGTTCCATTTGACGTGAAAATCACCTTATTGGCAAAGCTGGCGGAGGGCTGGGTGATGGGAATCAACCGTCATGGGAATTTCAGCAGAAGGCTGGGGTGATGGGAATAACTAGCCATAAATGCACAAAGCTCTTGGAGGGTGACTAGACTTCGCAGGCATTTAGGAAGGGCTTTTGCATTATTTTCATCGATAAATGAGTATGGAATGTACCATCTGTCAGCCATGAGTGGAAGGAGGAGCACCAAGGATCCTATTCCAGCAAACTGTAACCAGCGGTGCCGGTTGTAATACAGAAAATTTAATATTGCCAAAAAAATGTGAAAAATGACGCAAATAATAAAGTGTTACTTATTGTTGTTATTATTGCACTAAGAGTCTTGAGTGTTCGTATGCGCCCAGCCTACAAGCCACACACCCATCAGAATGGCCGTTCAAGACAGTGCTAGCTACAGCATATAGCATATAGAAAAGGAATACATAATTTTCTCTAAAATTTAGCACATGCTTATCTCCTCTACTCTGACCTAATAGTAGCACTGACCTGTAACTCAAGGCACCTGTATCTTTCTGCTCTGGCAAAGGCAGACAAATTACATTATACTAATGTTTTGGTAAGACTGGGCTTTCTGTTTCCTCATTTGATAATAAATTACGAAGAAAGTCTAGAAGCTCTCTTGCAAGAATGTCCATGGTAAAAATGTGTTGCCCTTTGTCGGAGAGCCTACAAGGGTTGCAGCTGCACTATTCACTTAATGTTGCATCACTGTAATCAGTGCCAAAATCATTGCTATAACTGGTACCTGTGGACTACATTGGATACACATTGAAAAAGTAGTGAACCAATTCAGTTTATAATGAATAATTATCCAGACCCTTTCATTATGGTTAAATTAAAGTTGTAAATATTCTGAATACCTTCAGATCAATAATCATGTAGATGGTGGTATCGATGGATTTGTCTCTCTAATACCTATATCATGCTGCGGTGCTGAAATTTGAGTACATCATTTAACCCAATGGTGCCGGGTGTACAAAACATAAAAAAAAATCTACACTTAAGCAAACAAAGGCGGTGTGCCGACTTTGAGCGCGTGAGTAGGGGACATCAGCCCGAATCACTGGCTCGCCGCACTTTGGTGCGCCGCCAGCTCGTTTGGCTGCACGCCAGCTTTTGATCGCTTTGTTTACACGCCGATCGGCGTCACCCGGCACCAAGGGGTTAAATAGTGGTGTATTTTGAGTATATTATTCCAATTTTACTCTGCTACTTCCCTGGTATCTTTCATGCCCACTCTTGCTACTAGGATCAGGAATGAGGAGGTGGGGGTCCATGGCATATATCCTACTTATGTGGTCAGTAAAGGGTTAAAATAATCCATCAATACCACTATCATGCAATGATATTCTAAACAGTTACCATTAAACTGTTTGAACATAAATATCTTTGCATTCATGAATTTCTTCTCTCTTCTTATACTTTCCCTAAATACTGCTCTGACCATGAATCCTCATAGTCACATGCATAGGGTCTCTAAACAAAAGAACTCCTGCAACAACACTTTAAACTTGTCCCTATGTCACTACCAATACATGAATTGAGAATTCAGAAATTATTATGAGCACTGTACATTTGTTCTTTTGGGTGCCACCCTAATTTAATCCTGTTACGACTGCTATTCAGCAATTATTTTTTTTTCCAACAACAGACAACTCAAGCCAATTGGCCTCGCTAAAAATTGTATAAATGATAATATATCTTCAAATTAATGTAACTCGCTGATATTATGACGCAATTCTTCGTCTTACCTCGAAAAACTTGCCATCTGTGAAGTACTTAAGAAGAGAACTCTTTCCCACGGTAGAATCTCCTATAAGTATTAATCGGAACTGGTAATCGAAAATTGGTTCCACCATCACTGTAATCTTTAGCAGTTTCGCCCAAAGGAGTTCCAAATCCCAAATAGGAAGCAAATAAGCGGCGCGCACCTCAGGGTCGCTGGCCACTTTGTTTTCACTTCTCAGCTGACTGTAAATATTCCAATAATGAGTCATACTCCTGTCAAGAGAAAAAATTATTATCAAAAATCATTATGTCTGGAAACAACATAAAACATATATAATACAATATTTTGGGGTATTTTTATATGTAAGAAATAATTTCTCTGGGGAAGTAAAAAGGGAAAGAGTATATATTTTATAAGAGTTTGTGGAGCTTTACGAATATTTGTCCTCCGAGTTGTTTACATCGGTTGCGCACCAAATACGCGCAATGTTTTACATTCATATTTACAACTAAATCCATCCAGGTTCATATATGTATATCTTTAGCAATCATACCATTTATCCACATTTTATTTATTTTCTGTTTCCGTGACCTCGCGCGTCTGAGGAGAAGACCAGCACGACCGACTTTCCCACTTTCCCGCCGGCCATGACGTCACCGCGGCCGTGACGTCACGCGGCGCTGCGCCAATCAAAACCCGCGGTCCTGCGCCGAGCGAGGCAGAAGCGCTTTAAAAATGGCCGAGAGAGGTGTCGGCAAGAGGATCACGATAGAATATAACCATGAGGATAGTGACAACGCCGGAGGATGCTGTCTGAGCACTATTAACAACTCGCTGCCGGAACTTG